AGAACATTTACTTTCATTAATAAAATTAGCTAGGATTATTGTTCTGTTCTTATTATAAAGATTATTTATTCACTGTTACTTTAATATGTGTAGTTAGGACTAACTTAAATCTCCGAAAGAGATCGAACTTCATGAGATATTACTGGTTAGAAGACCAAACTTCATGAGATATTACTGGTTAGAAGATCAAACGTCATGAGATGTTACTAGTTAGAAGATCAAATTTCATGAAATATTGCTGGTTAGAAGATCAAACTTCGTGAAATATTACTGGTTAGAAAATCAAACATCATGAGATGTTACTAGTTAGAAAATCAAACATCATGAGATGTTACTAGTTAGAAGATCAAACTTCATGAGATGTTAGTGGTTAGAAGATCAAACTTCATGAGATATTACTGGTTAAAAGATCAAACTTCATGAGATATTACTGGTTAAAAGATCAAACTTCATGAGATATTACTGGTTAAAAGATCAAACGTCATGAGATGTTACTGGTTAGAAGATCAAACTTCATGAGATGTTACTGGTTAGAAGATCAAACTTCATGAGATATTACTGGTTAGAAGATCAAACTTCATGAGATATTACTGGTTAAAAGATCAAACTTCATGAAATATTACTGGTTGAGATTATGTACGTACGCACATACATTCAGTTAGTTATAATTATTATCGGGTTGATTTTCAGTTACGTTCTTTCACTAGATATTAATATTGAACATAATAAAAAACCCTCTCATGTTTACCACCGTTGCAACTAAAAAAAAACCATGGTATGTATATTCAGAACATTGTAATTTTGAACAAATTGCCTGACACCAATAAATGTGCAATAAAAGAAGCTATCTTAATTTAAGAAAACAACCCCACCCTAAATCAACACCCCGGGGTACCAAGATACCTATATTAGACTGAAGCAGTATCCTGTTATGTGATCTCTTTGTTCTATACTGCATATATATATACTTATGTATCTCTGTAAAATACTTGTACCTGGGGATGACAAAATCTTGTCGAAACGTCGTACAGTTATAATAAAGTTTTTTCATTATCCAATCAAGCCGTCTCAAAACTTTTATATAATTCAGTCGTTGTCCATAACTGTATTGTTCACACGTGATGTTACTACATCAATTTTTAACTGTAATTACATCATTGTTTATCTTCATATTTCTGACATTTATGGTTTTTGTTTGTTTTTACATATCTTAAAATGATCTAAGTTTTATATCGAGAAAAAGAGTACAGGAAAATTCCAATTTACAATAAAAAGGGACAGTAATAAATGTACGGATTTATAACGTTAAGATCCAGGACTCGATTCCCCGCAGTGAAAAAAGCAGATAATCCAATGTAGATTTTTTCTAAAATAAACAATTTATATGTGCAAAAATGTACCGATGAAAAAGCTAGTAACAAATTTGTTTTCTGTCATAATTTGTTTTGTCTCTTTATACATACACAGCGTGGTCACAAGTAAATAGACACTACCTTTTCAGAAAAAATGAAAATTTTCAGTCATATTCACAT